TGAAGGGAAATGAGAAAATCTCTATGAATGAAAACGCATCTGCAGTTTTACAAAGGAAACTTCCACCCAAATGCAAAATTCTGGGAATGTTTACGGTTCCTTGCAAGATAGGAGATGTCACTTTTAGTAGTGCCATGCTTGACCTTGGTGATTCTATTAATGTCATGCCCTATTCGGTGTATGAATCATTGAATGTTGGTCCTTTAAGTGAAACCGGTGTCATAATCTCTCTTGCGGATAAATCAAGTGTATTTCCTAGAGGTGTTTTGGAAGATGTCCTAGAGTAAGTGAACCAATTAGTCTTCCGGGCGGATTTCTATGTGATTATCTAGATGAACAAGTATCCTCAAAGTCGGGTATAATTTTACTTGGGAGACCATTCTTGAAGATGGCTAGAATGAAGATTGATGTATATGTGGGAAGCTTAACAATGGAGAATGATGGTGAAACAATAAGATTTAACATTTATGATGCTATGAGATATCCTAGTGATGTTTCATCCTTATGGTTTAATGATGTTGTCGAACCATTAACCCAAGAGTTGTTCGAGTTGTCTAATGGTGACATGTTGGAGATGATTTTGAGCAAAGGATTTGATTGTGGTAAATTAGCCAAGAAGTTAAAGCTCTACTCGTTAGATCCAAAAGTTGAAAGATTGATCAACAATTTAGAGATCAAGAAAACCACTCAATTTAGTGTGAAGCAAATTGAATTACCTCAAACTCACAAAAGATTGCCGCCCTCCCTTCTTCAACCACCAGCGTTGGAATTAAAAGTCCTTCCTTAACATTTGAAGTATGCGTACTTGAGAAACAACTAGACTCTTTCATTCATCATTTCAACTCACTTAACCGAGTGTGAAGAAGAGCAACTCCTCAAAGTATTGAAGGAACATAAATAAGCAATGGGTTGGATGATTGTGGATATCAAAGGGATAAGCCCCTCCACTTATATGCATAAGATTTTGATGGAGGATGAATGCAAGCTAAGTCAGGATGCACAAAGGAGATTGAGCCCGTCAATGATGGAAGTTGTGAAGAAAGAGATATTGAAGCTTCTTGATGTAGGGATGATCTATCCAATCTCGGATAGAGAATGGGTGAGCTCGGTGTACGTGGTACCGAAGAAGACGGGGATCACGGTGGTCGAGAACAACAAAGGTATAATGGTCCCCACCCGTGTGCAAAACGGGTGGAGAGTATGTATTGACTACCGCAAACTCAATGCAAACATGAGAAAATATCAATTCCCATTACCTTTCATTGACCAAATGTTAAAAATGTTGGCCGGGAAATCCCATTATTGTTGTCTAGACGGGTACTCTAGTTTTCACTAAATTCCTGTGGCACCGGAAGACCAAGAAAAGACAACCTTCACATGTCCATTTGACACTTTCGCATACCATAGAATGCCATTTGGATTGTGTAACGCCCCGACCACTTTCCAACGTTGCATGTTTAGTATCTTTTTAGAATATGTTGAAAATATAATTGTAGTTTTCATGGACGATTTTACAGTATATGGAAACTCCTTTCAAGAATGTTTGACCAATCTCACCAAAATTTTGAAAAGATGTATTGAAACGAATTTGGTTCTAAATTTTGAGAAATGTCATTTCATGGTGAGTCAAGGTCTCATTTTGGGTCACATTGTGTCTAAAAAAGTAATTGAGGTAGATAAGGCAAAAAATTTATGTTATTCAAAGCTTAGCTTACCCAACTTGTGTTCGGGAAGTTCGCTCTTTTTTTGGGCCATGCAGGTTTCTACCGACAATTCACCAAGGACTTTTCAAAGTTAACAAGACCAATGTGCCAACTCTTGCAAAAGGATGTTGATTTCGAGTTCAATGAGGTGTGCAAAGAATCTTTCAACAAGCTCATAGAGTTGCATACATCCGCTCCTATCATACAAGCTCCAAATTGGGATCTCCCCTTCGAGATCATGTGTGATGCAAGTAATTATGCTATTGGCGCCGTTTTGGGTCAAAAGAATGGAAGAGCCTCCCATGTGATCTACTATGCATCTAGGACACTAGACAATGCTTAAAGAAACTACTCTACCACGGAGAAGGAGCAATTGGCCAAAATGTTCGCTTTGGAGAAGTTTCGGCAATATCTACTTGGCCCCAAAGTTATAGTGTATTCGGATCATGCGGCTCTCAAGTACTTGATGACAAATAAATATGCAAAGCCAAGACTCATCCGGTGGATGTTATTATTTCAATAATTTGATTTGGAAATCCGGAACAAGAGTGGATGCGAGAACCTTGTTGCCGATCATCTAAGCCGAATCACTTGAAATGAGACTCCTCTCCCGTTGCGGGACGAGTTTCCCAATGAACATCTCTTTTCCCTTACTCAATCTACTTCTTGGTATGTCGATATCATTAACTTTTTGGTCACGAAAAGGTATCCCGACACATTCACACGTGCTCAAAAAGATAAACTGAAAAGTGATGTAAAATACTATGTGTGGGATGAACCTTATTTGTGGAAACATTGTCCCAATCAAATTATTAGGCGATGTCTGCCCCAACAAGAGCATCAATCCATATTGCAATTTTTTCATTAATTTGCTTGTGTGGGACACTTCGGACCTAGCCGGACCTTGAGAAAGGTCCTTGAGTATGGACTATTTTGGCCAACCATGTCACGTGACTATTACTAGTTTTGCAAAAGTTGTGAACGGTGCCAAAGGACGGGTAACATTTCGCAAAAGAACCAAATGCCACAAAATCCAGTCCTCATTTGTGAAAATTTTGATGTATGGGGGATTGATTTCATGGGTCCATTTCTCATCTCATTTGGCAATGTTTATATCTTGCTCGCGGTTGACTATGTTTCTAAGTGGGTTGAGGCCAAATCCACACGATCGGATGATGCCAAAACAGTTATCAACTTTTTGAAATCTATTATCTTTGTGAGATTTGGTGTGCCTAGGGATTTAATTAGTGATCAAGGGATGCATTTTTGCAATAAGATGATGGAGACCTTGCTGAAAAAGTATGTGACCAATCGTGTCTCTACCGCCTACCACCCTTAAACGAACGGTCAAGCGGAAATTTCAAATCGTGAGATGAAGAGTATTCTTGAGAAAACGGTGAATCCTTTAAGGAAATATTGGAGTTTGAGGCTTGATGATGCCTTGTGGGCCTATCGGACTGCGTACAAGACCCCAATAGGAATGTCTCTATTTAGATTGGTGTTTGGAAAACCATGTCATCTTCCTGTGGAATTGGAGTACCATGCATTCTAGCGGTCAAGCAATGCAAATTCAACATTGATGAGGTGGTAAGGCATAGGAAGCTTCAACTTCAAGAGTTGGAAGAATTAAGAAATGCTTCTTATGAAAACTCGAGAATTTACAAGGAGAAAATGAAGCTTTTCCATGACAAGTCCATTACCCGCAAGAATTTTGAGCCAGGACATAGGGCATTGCTTTACCACTCGAGATTGAAATTATTTCCCACAAAGTTGAGGTCGAGATGGATAGGTCCATTTGTTGTGCAAAAAGTCTTTCAGCATGGAGCAGTTGAGATCCATAGTGAAGAAACGGGTCAAATCTTTAAAGTCAATGGAACTCGTTTGAAACCTTTCTATGAATGTTTTAATGCAAATGCCTTAGATTTCATCCAATTGGGTCAAATCTTTAAAGTCAATGGAAATCGCCAAAGACGTTAAAGAAGGGCATTTTTGGAAAATGTCAAGTTTTTTCATCTTTTCTAATTCCAAATAAATTTCGTAGATAGATCCTTTTTGCATTTCACATTTCTTCTTCATCCTTCTTGAAATAAATGAGTGTTGGAATTTAAGGCCCGGTGTTCGTTTTGGTCAAAGGGAGAAAATTGAGGAAATTGTTGCAGGATACACGCGGACCGCATGTACTCGGGGGTGTATCAGCGTTAATAAAAAAATGGTCCGCATGTGGTTCCCAAAAATGTCCGCATCCAACATCAAAAGACAGAAGGATTTCATGATATTTCACGCGGACCGCGTGTACTCGTGGGTCCATCCGCGTGTTTATACAAACGGACCGCGTGTGCTCGGAATGATGATCGCGTAAAAAGTCAAACAAATGGACTGTTTTTAGCACTTATACGCGGACCGCATGTACTCATGGATCCGTTCGCGTGTTTATACAAACGGACCGCGTAGGCTCCCTAGATTCATCCGTTTGTGAAGAAGGCAGACAGAAGTGTAGCAGGTTTATTCACGCGAACCGCGTGTACTCGCGAACGTGTCCGTGTGAGGTGTTGACCTCCTTTGACCCGATTTTGAACACATTTGACCGTGACTTAACCTAATAAAACACCCCAGCTGACCCTCTTCTTCCCTTCTTCTACAACTTCTTTTCCCTAAACTCCATTAAAACACCTCCATCTCCACCACTAAAACTCAATTTCCCGTCAAACCGCCAGTCGGAATTACGCGAGACCACCGCCATTCTTCACCATTTTCCATTCCCTACAAACCCCAACCAAAATACAGCCCGATCCGTTGCTGCAATCCCAGGTGCCACCACCACAAAATCGCTATTTTCCGACCAACTCCGGCCACCTCTCGTGATTCCAACACCACCATTGTGCTCCCCTTGGTCAAGGCTACAAACCCCACTAAAAATATATCTCAAAGCTCGCTGGAAAATTTTGCTGGAATCTCAAGCCCTTGCAGGATTTCTCGGGTTTTCGCGGTAAAATTTTTCTCACGGGATATTGAACAAAGCTTAAAGCTTGGGGTGGAGAGTTGCAAGAATTTCAAATTCTGAATTTTCGTGTGTAAATATAACACTGGTACATTCTTTTCTTGAGTTTAATTGATGAATATGCATGTTTTAGAACAAAAATTTATATGGTATCGCATCAGTTGAGTCTTGATAATGTTTCTTGCATTGAGTGTTGAATCATTTTAGAAGTCCATATGGAGTTGATTGGTGATTGGAATTGAAATACCATTTGTTGGGATTGTGGTTCGTGTAGTAGTTGTTTTTAGTGCAGGTAGACCATGTCCACATCTAGGAAACACCCAGCTGCCGCTCGAGGAAAAGCCCCCGCTAGAGCTCAAAATGATGCACCTGGCATTCCAAGATTTCGGGATGCCAAGACGGCTGAAAAATACACGAAGAGCTTGCCTAGAAAGGTTGCCTCCACCAAATTTGTGTGCAAACCCACACTCATTTCATTAGGGGTTCTCAAGGGGGTCACCCAATTGTTCCGTAACATCGGGTGGGAAAACCTTCTCAATCTCATGGCACACACTTACGATCTCCCTACTACAGAGTTTCTTGTTGATTGCGGGTTAGATGGCGAAAAGAAAAAAGCCTCATTCTAACTTCTGGGGGGACCGAAGGTATATTGATTTTGCAACAACAAATGACATCTTGGGCTTGCCTTCCTCGAACACATCCACGGTTTTTGACATCTTGCCTGTCGAGTTCAACCATGAGACCTTCTGGATGGAAATCACCGTAGGGATCTTTTCGTGCGCCGGTCGAGATAAAGCAATCTCCATCATTCACTAGTACCTTCGCATTGCCCATCGTATCTTGGTGTGCACTGTTTTTGCCCGAAAAGAAGCCGTTCAAGTCACAAAAAATGAGCTTTCTTCCTTTGGTGCATGACACGACATGAAAATCCACCAATCTTGGACTTTGCTTCATTCTTTTTCCATAAATGTGCACTCATGAGAACCAAAGCGTCCGGTGATATTTTCATTGGTGGATTTGTCACCCTTTTAGCCTGCGGTCTTGACATCGAGCTCCCAGACGAATACCAACTTGTTCTCAATAAAACACTTTTGGATGAGTGTGATCTGACAAACATGCACCACATCCGTCATCGAAGCAGGAGCAGTTTTACATGGTATTGCCCTCATGGGATTGGATATCTTATTCTCCCCGACCCTCGAGTCTCCAACTTCACCCCCCCCCCCCCACTATCGCACTTAGTGAAGACTCGCGAGGACCATCACTTAGTCAGTCAATGAGGACGCGCTACAGGCTCAAGATGATGTCGAGATGCATGCAGATGAAGAGTCTGGTGATGAGCCCACCCATGGTCCACAGCAAGCCCAGCCCCAAGCACCTCCCGAATACTACCTGCTTCCCCCCAATTTTGCCGAAAGGTTCGAGGCCCCTTGTGTCTCCAACCAAATCATGTCCCAACAGATGCACCATATGTGGGGGTGGCACCAATCACAAAACCATTTTGAGAACGTCCCACTTCCTCCTCCCTATCCATACCCTCCACCCACCCACCCTTATCCACCTCCACCTTACCCTTACCCCTACCCCCAATACCCATATCCTCCTCCCGACCCCTCGGTCTAGGTACTTCAACCTCTCCCCAAGCATTGATGACAATGCTTATTTCTAAGCTTGGGGTAGGGTATTCCCTTTTCTTTTTGATTTCTCATGCATTTTAATTAGGTTGCATATCATTTTAGCCTTAAATTACATTCATTTTTTTTATTTTCTATAAAACTCCAAAAAGATTTTATTTTCTTCTTTTCACTTTTTATTTTTGCATGACATTTAGCTTAGGGCATTAACATTCATGCACTTTTGTTATCTCTTTATTCTCATCTCCGAACATCTTTACTTGAAAGACTCGACACACCTTAAATACAATTCTTTTGGAAACTCACATAAAAAATAAGAATCGCTCTTAGGGACCTTCAGTGTTGCATCTTCTTTTATATATTTGGGGAGAGAGTGAAAGTAGTTATGCATATGAACCAACCTATGTCAAGTGTGGCATAAGTAAGGGGACAACTTAGCCTCGAGCCGACTAGTCCCTCACTTGCATTTTTCTCACAAGCCACAATCAAACCCCAAAGAAAAAGAAATAAAAACTAGATTGTGCTATTTTGAGATCTTTAGTATCTAACTGCTACAATTCACATCATATCTCATTATGTTGTGATTTAGACACGTTTTTCCCACTCGGTCTTGAATTAGCCTTAGTGTAGTTGTGCTCGTTTGGCCTCTTGTTTGGGTTAGACTTAGATTCTGCTTATAGTTGTATATAGTTTTGTTTTTTCTTATTTTCATACTATTCTTGTAAAACTCCTGTGGTAAACCAAAAAAGTGAGCCCAAGAGAGAGAGAGAGAGAGAGAGAGAGAGAGAGAGACAACTACCCCCTTTTTTCCAGTTTTGTTTTGTTTTGTGAGTCAAAAGTAAATTGTTTAAAAAGTGTCGTTCGAAAAAAAATATACATATATTTTTTGCATCAATTCACCCAAAAATTTCAATAAAGTCTAGTGTTTAGTTCGTGTACGTGAGATTTTATATGTAACCAACTTGTTTGGAGAAGTCAAATTTTGATCTTTCGTGAAATTTTAACCTTATGTTTGCTGGTTCTAGTATTTAAAAAAAAATGGTTTTGAAAACTCAAATATCATCGCAATCATAAAATGTGAATGTAATTATATATTGCTTAGTGTTTTTCTCTTTGTGTCTTAAGTTATTGTATTTGTAACATGTCTTTGGGGTTTTGTTATACAAAAAATAAAAAATAAAACAATTAAATAAAATAAAATAATATATATATATATATATATATATATATATATATATATATATATATATATATATATATATATATATAAAAGAAAAGGCCGGGCCACAGAGTTAGTTCCATTTGTTTGCTTTTGTAGATGTTTAGTTTTTTTTCGGATTTTAGCTCATGTAATTAGTTTCTAGTTTGATGTTTTTCTAGTTAGATATCATTTTTGTTGGCAACTACGATGACACCTTTTCTCATCACGTGTTCGATTCTTTGCTTTACATGATCTTATTTTGGTGGAAGCACTGATTCTTCTAGATGATAATGGTTTGCCATCCTTTTCATAGCTCATTCATTGCCATTTTTTGCCCGAGTTATCTTTTTTCTAGGTTTTATTTCTTGGCCTGGGGTTGTAGTTGTGAGGAGTGAGGAACATTCTAACCGAGGGACACTTTCTTATGGCTTGTGGGCTAGATCGGACCATGAAATAATGTCACTTAAACCATAATAGCGAAGTATGCATGCTCATTTTGAATCTTGATAAACATGTATCCCTTGCTAGAAAGGTCACAAAAGCTCGTCAGTTAAAGCAATTCTTATCCCTAAAATTGGATTATATGTCTTTATTTTAAGGTCGTGTCGTGAATTTCCACCTAAGATATTCATTGTTTTTTCTTTCTAGGATAGTTAATCCCAAGTTCATTTTAGTCTTGTCTTACTTGAGGACAAGTAAAGTTTAAGATTGGGATGATTTGATAGTTTCGTTTTTATTACTTCTTTTCATAGTTTATTTTTAGTTAAAACCATTTCATTTTAGTTAATCTCATGCATATTTTCTCTTTTTGTTATTTTTCTCCATTACCGGGTGCTTTCCAGTCTTTTGAGCTTATTTGCAGGATTTATCGAAGCCTTTTTTTATTGGAGGCGTTGAAGGAGTGTGGGGCTGCTAGAGGCTTGCAATTTGTCTAGGACTTGAAGTGGTGCAACTGGGCTTGGTGCCAACATAAACAAGAAATCACGTCAGGCTTAAATTTCGGGCGGGACGACGAGAATTCGAGCTATAGAATATTAAAGGAGCACTGGAGCATCTTGGAAGAGCTTTGGAATGGCACAATTGGGCTATCAAGAACTTGCACAAATGGGCCGGAGCATAAATTAGAAGATTGGGCTGGATGGTATTTGAAATGGGCGAAAGCATGCATTCAGGATGACCCACGCGGTCAGCGTGAAGAGTGGTGAAGTGAAACCGGGTTTTGACTTGTTGACTCTATTTGTGGAAGGTTGGTGGGTGGCTTTTGGCAACTTTTTGAATCTAGAAATGAACCTCTATTACTAGAGATTTGAAGCATTTTGGCATCATGAATACTTGGAAGAATAACTCCATTTTGCTCTCAGAAGGTTTTGGAAAACTTGGATGATTTAGAAGATTGGTGTAATTTCTTTCCATCTTGCAACTAGAACAATGTTTGGTACCATTAACCTACCTTGTATTTCTTTTATTTTAGCCATTTTTGGCTAGATTTTCATTTGGTTGATTAGGGTTTAACCCATGGATGTTAGTTTTTTTGAAGACTTATTATTATCTTGTGTTTGAAGTTTATGGAAATGTTTTCTAGTTAAACATCTTTTTGTGTTTATTTATCTTTGATCATGAGCTTAGATGAATGAATGCTTATTTTTGTTGACTATTTTCTTGCTTAAGTAATGGACCCTCAAATTAGTAAGCAACAAATGGTTTATATGTTTATTTTCATTTCATTTAGATCATGGAAATGTTTCCTCCATAATGCTAATGTAAGCATTTGATTATCTTTTGGACTTGGTAATTCTTAGAACTTAAAGCTAATTGATTTTCACAAGATTATATGCTTCATTGATCTTGTGACTTTAATTAAAGGAATGTGTTAGAGCTGCTTTAACCATTCTAATATCAAGAAGAGTTGAGGCGATTTGTGCTTATGAATTGTTATAGCCAAGTTAAACAAATTTACAAGATTTGTTCCATTTCGTCTAATGATAAGTTAACTATGTCATCCATGTGGTGTATCCCAAAATCAATCAATTTCACTTCATTAAATTTAATCAAATCCTTTACTTGTTTACTTGTCATATTTACATTCTGGCTACTTGTAATTTTGTCAAACAATCAAAAAGACCAAACCCCACATTTTTACTTTATTTGTCATTTTACAAGTATTTTTACAAAGAGATTTTTCATAGAGTTATAAAATTGAACCAATCTCCATGGATACGATCCATTTACCACTATACACTATTTAGTGTGTAATATTTGGGGTGTTAATTTTGTTGGCCTCGACAACCACCAGCTCAACACGAGTCTCATCATCTGGCTAAGTGCTAGTGTTATTCAAGGTTCCTTCATTAGAAAACTCTAAAATTTCTTGAAAATAAAAAATGATTTTCCTCGAGCATTAATCTTTCCATATTTCAATTTTAGGTAGTCACTTTTGAAGTGGCCAACTTCTCCACATTCATAACAACTATGATTTCCACCAGTACTAGTTCCTTGGTTTACGACACGGGTTAGGTTCCTACAAGACTTAGTGTTGTGTCCCTTCCTACCACAGTTGTTACAAACCAGTTCTCTACATGCATCTATGTGGTGGTAGTGGCACTCATTGCATAACAGAAGATCTTCTGCATACTGTCTTAGTGGAGTAGGTGAGGGGATAGTTGTTGCGTAAACTTTCTCCAAGACTTGATTTCTTCATGATGGTTGTCCTAAGTCACTATCAGACTTTCTCTTGTTGTTTCCAAACTTTGGGAGGTCAGCCTTCTAGACCATAGTTCCCTGATGAATCTCC